TCAGGGGGCCGTGCAGGGTGGTGAACGACACCCTGTGGGGCTCTGTCATGGCTCTGGCCAGGGCTCAGCAGCCCTCACGGCATCGTTCCCTCCGCATCGGGGAAGGACTGTGGGGCCGCACGGATGTCACCGCCGGCCGAGGAGGGTGGTGGGTGCTGCTGGCAGCCGGACAAGCCCTTTGGTTTGGGAGTTTTCCTGGGAAATGACAGAGGGCTGTGCTGCCAGCGCCTGCTGCGATTGTTGGGAGAGAAAGAAAGAGTCAGTCAGTCCTCGCAGCAGAATCCCCTCCAGCGCTGGCAGCCCCCCCATTGCCCCTCCTGCCCACCCCCGGCTCTCCCTCCTCACACCGCACCGCTCCATGCGTAAGGGCTGCAGGAAATCCCGCCGCCAGCGAACCGAAACGGCCCCTCCGGGCGGTCTGTGACAGGGCCCGGCACCCCCGGGCACCAACACCGGCCTGGGGCTGCACCTCCCGGGGCCGCGGCTGCGCTCGGGCCGCCCGTTGTCCCGCCGCATGGAGGGCCGGACAGGCCGGGGAGCGGGGCGGGGGCGCTGAGCGGGCCCCGGGGCGGCGGTGCCGGTGCCGGTGCCCCCTCCCTCCCTCTCCTTCCCCCCCTCCCCTCACTCACCCTCTGCTCCCGGCCCCGCTCCGGCCCCGCGCCCGCGTCACGTGGGCGGCGCTGCCCTCGCGCCGGGGCCGCGCGCGCCGCGGCCAATCACGGGGCGCCGCCGCGGCCGCGCCTCGCGCCGAGGGCCCGCCCCGCGGCACGTGACCAGGATGGGCCAATCCCCTCCTCCCACCCCCGCCGGCACCGCTCCGTCCCGGCGGCCCCCGCGGCGCGGGAGGGGCGGCAACATGGCGGCCACGGGGAGCCCTCAGGGAGCGGCACCGCCGGCGCTGAGCGGGGCCAGGCCCGCGGGGCACCCGCGCCCGGGGCTCAGTCGGGAGGACTGTGAGGCAGCGGCGGGCGGCTGTTCGGGGCTCTCGGAGCTGCTGCCCGCGTCGCCATCACTCACCGAGCACCGATAGAAGCCTCTGGGAAGCAGCGTTCGTCCTCAGGGCTCCTCATGTCGCAGGAGCGTTTAAACAAGCTCGGGTTTATTCCGCAGGATGAAATACAACTTGGGGGATGTGTAACTATAAGGGGAAACAGTTATACAATACAGCCAAAGAGGGGGTGTTGTGGACAAAGCTGGCGGCACTGGGACCCCCGGAGGGCTGTGCTGGAAGACCCCACACTGCGGGATGACAAACTGCCAGCGGACCCTGAACCACACGGCTGGGTGTGCTGGGAGACGATGGGATCCATCCCAGGGATCCATCCATAGAGCTGCTGATGCCGCCGTGGGACTGCTCTGGTATTTTTCAGCGATTTGGAGAGTCTGGAGAGATCTCTGTTGACTGGTAAATGTCCCAGTTTTCAAGCAAGAAAGAAGGGAAGACCCTGGAACCTCCAGGCCTGTCAGTCTCCACTCAGTGCTTGGTAAAATTATGGAGGAGGTTATTCAGGGAGTGACTGAAAAACACTTAGAGACAAGGCAGTCATCAGTAACAGCTGGGGGTGCTCACAGGGGAAGGTCATGCTTTACCTGCTTCATATCCATTTGGGACAAGCTCAGGCAACAATGTCATAGAGTCCCAGGGTGGGTGATCTGTTCCCACCTCCCTGCCCCAGCAGGGTTATCCCAGAGCACATGGCACAGGATTGTGTCCAGGGGGTTCTGGAATATCCCCAGCGAGAGGCACTCCACCCCCTCCCTGGGCAGCCTGTTCAGTGCTGGGTCACTGCACAGCAAAGTTCTTCCTCATGTCCAGGTGGAACTTCCTGGGCATCAGTTCCTGCCTGTTCGTCTTGTGCCATTGCTGGCCCCCCTGAGCACAGCCTGATCCATCCTCTGCCCCCTCCCTGCAGCCCCTGACACACCCTGGGGAGATCCCCCCTCAGTGTGTGCTCTGGAGGCTGAACAGCCCCAGCTCCCTCAGCCTTTCCTGCTCCCAGAGATGCTCCAGCCCTTCAGCATCTCTGCAGCCTCCACTGGACCCTCTCCAGGAGCTCCCTGTCCCTCCTGTCCTGAGGAGCCAGAACTGGAACCAGCCCTGCAGATGAGCCTCCCAGGGCTGAGCAGAGGGGCAGGATCCCCTCCCTGACCTGCTGGAAATGCCCTTCCTCACACGCCCCAGGATCCCACTGTCCCCTGTCCCCCCCAGCAGTGGCAGCCAAAAGGGCCGAGTGTGTCCTGGCGTTCAGTGGTTGAGGGAGGGGATTGTCCTGCTCCACACTGCACCTGGAGCTTTGTGTTCCGCTAACGGTGCTGGGAGGAAACCGTGGAGAGAACAGGTTAAAAGCCATTTCCCATCCCATAATTTCAGCCCTCTTCCACTTTCCAATACCCTGTACTGCTTGGCTGATGGCACCAGCTCAGGCCCAAGTCCTCAGCAAAGGCACTGCTCAAAATCCAGGGCAAAGCCCCAGGAGCAGGAACCTGGGGACATTCCAAACCCACCAGGACATGTTCCTGTGTCACTTGCCCCAGGTGCCCCTGCCTTGGCAGGGGGGTTGGACTGGGTGATCTCCAGACTCCCTCCCAACCCCAGCTAACCTGTGACCCCAAGTCCTGCTGGAGCACAGAGCCCTCTGGCTCTGCTGCCACAAGCACAGGGTGCTGCAGCATCAGTCTGGCTCCTGAGGATCATCCCAGCCCCGCTGCTGCTTCAGGGGAAGCACTGGAGCCCTGCAC